AAGCCACGGTGTGGTTGCTCGCCGCCTCACTTTGTACCGGGATCGGCTGGCTTTGTTGCCCAAACTCATTTCGAGGAACCTTCTTCACTGGTGGTTCTCGGCATGGGCTTCTCTATCGCAAGCGAAAGGGCTCTATGTCAGTCCACTTCTCCATCGGGTCACCCATTATTTTGAGTTGTGCTTTCTGTTCCTATATCTCCATTTCCATGGAGTCAATGATTCAATCCCTGTATCCTTCTCTAGTAGAAAATGATGAAAATAACCTCCAGCGAAGGGCAATCGATGCTCAACAGATTCGGGAGTCCGGTTGTTGTTTCCAGTTTGTTCTTTCAGGACTATAGGGAGTACCAAGCCTTTATTCTTTGTCTTCTCCGTTTGTGGAGTTGGTGCCAAATGTGGGATGTCCTCAATCCCCATCATCGGAATCAAGCGTAGAACTTAGAGACAAAGCCATTCACGTTCACCGCACCAATTATGTATACCGAATACCGCACTAGATGATTATGGATCGGAGCTCCGCACTTGATTGGACTATTCAGGAATCGAGACCCTGTAACAATGAGCACCGTTAGAGCTGTCCGGCCGGGGGTGGCCGGATAACCCCTCCGATGTGGGAGTGAGAGATCGGAGAAGATGAGGGATACTCTCTCAGTGCTGCGAGTTGTGTTTTGGTGAGTATAGTTCAGCTTAGATCAGTTACATTCAGTGTGAAGTCAGTGCAGTTTATATAGAACTCATTGCTTGATGCCCAAGATGGTATCATGGAGTTCTGGTGCTGCAAAGTTTCTTTTTAGCATTGCCCAAGGTGGGGGACCATCTGGTAGTTGACTAGGGGTGTATATACTCATTGTAACCATGCTTGTAACAGATCACATTCCTTTGATCAACTATTTCTGTGATTCTAGTGGGAGAGGACCAGCTGAGGTGGTACTCTCCATGTGCATGCATTCATAGCTTCCACGTTTCTTTGTTAGGCCCTTTTGGCTCGGTACCGTCATGCCTCGGCTCGGCCCTCTACGAGATTGTTTGTAGAGATGGGCTGGCCCAGTAGGATATCTTTGTATGGGATCGGCCCCTTTTGGGTTCGGTCCAAGGATCAAATTCTGCGGCTCCCCCCCCCCCCACATCATGGCTGGGCTGACCTTTCCACTACAGGCTCGGCCCAAGTGCTTGAGGACTTGGGTGGATTGTTGATGATGTAATTGGGCTAATCTGATTGGCCCACTTGCTTATCTTGCTTTTCAGGCCTTGAGTCTAATGGATTGGGCTGGCCCAAGGCTTGGATCCAACCCATTTTATATTTAGTCCCTTCAGGTCGGGTCATACCTACCTAGTTGCCTAAGTACAAGACTTGGATGGGCTTTGACCAATTAACGGCTTAGTATTATAAAATGGAAAAATAACACCACCACAATGGTGGAAGAAAAAACAGTGTTGAAATTTATTCATTTTAATAATTAAAATATTATATTTTTCTATGAATTTATAATTGTTTTTACTTAACACCATTGTGGTATTATTTTCCCTTATAAAATCTAAACAAATATCTCATCCATAAGTCTTAATCTTGGGGACCAAGATTAGTCCGAGCCAAGCTGAGACCATAGGTCTCGTTTGTTTGGCCACTTCAGCGGCTGGATTGAAGTAGGATTGCTTGAGTACCACTCATAGCATGTTTGGTGTTGTTTGAAGAGGTTGGCTTCACAGTCTGGATGACTTAGTCATCCTCCTCAATAGGGGGATTTGTTTGACTGGGAAACGAGTAGGATTAATAAAATAATGAGAGGCTTTAATCTGTCCGGTCGTCTACCTGGATGTCTACCCGGACGTCCAGTACAATGCAATTTTTTCTTTTTTTTAACAATCCCAAGTGCACATTTGGTTTTAATATTTATTTTAATTTTTTTAATATAGAAATAATTTTTTAATTTATTTAATTTAAAAATAATTTAACAATCCATCATTAATCATCTCCCACACTATTATTAAAATAAAAATACTTTTACTTAACCCCCTCACTAATAATCAATACATTAACAATCTTTTCACTAACCATCCTCTCACTAAAAATCTCCTCCAACCTAGTCTGCCAAATACATACATAATAATATAAAAAGTCCAGTGTATAAATAAAAATTCATCCATAATTAAAATATTTTTCCATTCATAATAACACATTAGCAAAATTATCTCACTACATAATGTTGCATAATACATACATAATGTTGTTCACAAATCTAAATAACGTAAATCAAAAACAAAAGTTTTCGTCATGATTCTTCTGTGGGTTACAAAAACAAAAGTTAGTCGTAATCTTCACACGCCTGCATTCCACAAGAAGCAAACTGCTACTCAGGAAATATATGAAAATAACAAAATAATAATAATTAATGACAATATAATTATGTGTTAATATTTTAATTACAAAAAAATATAAAAAATTAACTACTATATAATTACAAAGATAGTTTAGTAAATAATTTTCGCTAGATAGAAATCCGGCCCTAACTTCCAAACCAGAAACCCAATTGAAGTCTCGTCTTCTCCCACAAGTCTCTTGTTCCTAGGCGGTCGTGTGTGCCAAGTTTCATGCTAAACCGATGTCGTTTGGTGATTTTGGGGCGTCAACACCTCGAATTTAAGTTTCTTAAAGAACTAGTTTGCCTAGAGTGATATCCGACTCTAACTCCCAAACTGGGAACCCGATTCGAGCCCTGTCTTCTCTCACAAGTCTCTCGTGCCTAAGCGGTCGTATGTGCCAAGTTTCATGCAAAACCGACATTATTTGGTGATTTTGAGGCGTCAACACCTCGAATTCATGTTTCTTAAGGAACAAGTTTGCCTAAAATGAAATTCGGCTCTAACTCCCAATCCAGGAACCCGATTCAAGTCCCGTCTTCTCCTACAATTCTCTTGTGCCTAGGCGGTCGTGTGTGCCAAGTTTCGTGCTAAACCGACTCTGTTTGGTGATTTTGGGGAGTTAACACCTCGAATTCAAGTTTCTTAAGGAACTAGTTTGCCTAGAGTGATATCCGACTCTAACTCCCAAACCGGGAACCCGATTCGAGCCCCGTCTTCTCCCACGAGTCTCTCGTGCCTACACGGTCGTGTGTGCCAAGTTTCGTGCTAAATCGACGTTGTTTCGTGATTTTGGGGCGTTAACACCTCGAATTCAAGTTTCTTAAGGAACTAGTTTGCCTAAAGTGAAATCCGGCTCTAACTTCCAATCCGGGAACCCGATTCGAGCCCCATCTTCTCCCACAAGTCTCTTATGGCTAGGCGGTCGTGTGTGCCAAGTTTCGTGCTAAACCAACATCGTTTGGTGATTTTGGGGCGTTAACACCTCGAATTCAAGTTTCTTAAGAAACTAGTTTGCCTAAAGTGAAATCCGGCTCTAACTCCCAATCCAGAAACCCGATTTGAGTCCCGTCTTCTCCCACAAATCTCTCGTGCCTAGGCGTTCGTGTGTGCCAAGTTTTGTGCTAAATTGACGTTGTTTGGTGATTTTGGGGCGTTAACACCTCGAATTCAAGTTTCTTAAGGAACTAGTTTGCCTAAAGTGAAATCCGGCTCTAACTCCTAATCCGGGAACCCAATTCGAGTCCCGTCTTCTCCCACAAGTCTCTCGTGCCTAGGCGGTCGTGTGTGCCGAGTTTCGTGCTAAACCGACGTCGTTTGGTGATTTTGGGGCGTCAACACCTCGAATTCAAGTTTCTTAAGGAACTAGTTTGCCTAGAGTGATATCCGACTGTCTTCTCCCACAAGTCTCTCATGCCTACATGGTCATGTGTGCCAAGTTTCATGTTAAACCGACGTCGTTTGGTGATTTTGGAGTGTTAACACGTTGAATTCAAGTTTCTTAAGGAACTAGTTTGCCTAAAGTAAAATCCGACTCTAACTCTCAATCCGGGAACCTGATTCGAGCCCCGTCTTGTCCCACAAATCTCTCGTACCTAGGCGGTCGTGTGTGCTAAGTTTTATGCTAAACCGACGTTGTTTGTTGATTTTGGGGTGTTAACACCTCGAATTCAAGTCTCTTAAGAAACTAGTTTGCCTAAAGTGAAATCTGGTTCTAACTCCCAATCCAGAAACCCGATTTGAGTCCCGTCTTCTTCCACAAGTCTCTTAGCTTAGAATGCAAAGAATGCAAAGATACATTTTATACATGATCTTCTGGTGGTGGTGTATATGGATTCTCGTCTTCTGCAGATTGCCTAAATGCTCGGGGCCACTCGATGCATCAGGAACCTATGACAATCAATGCATAATTTGTTAATCATATTCGAATTTTATGCATAATGTTGTGTGAAAATTTAACTATCAAACAATTTAATTTATATCGAACCTGTCTGTTGGGATCCACACTCGCCCCTTGTGACACAAAGGCCATCATCTCAGCTCTCATCTACTGTAAATGTGTAGAGAACTCTGCTCGCATCTCCTCCCTCAGCTCCTCTCTTAGCTCCGCACGAACCTGCTGGGTGATCTGAACAATAGTCGACGGCTGGGGTGTTGACTGTGATGGCCCAGCACCATCTTTATACACTGCTCTCCGAGGCACAGTTCTCCCGTATGTGCGACAATATCTATGTCCGTCATGACCTATCAACTCATGGAAAATGGCATTCCTAGCCTCCAAAGTCCGACAATCCTCAGGTAGCACAGAGAGTTGACGATTAAACTCATCCTGTATTGAATAAGATATATATGCCAAATTAAAATGGTTGACACACAAAAAATAAAAAATAAACTTTAAATACAATCAAAGGTGTTTGGAAACTACCAAGGTCCGGATAACCTCTGGGTCATCTGCTCTACGTGTCATAAGCCAAACATTCATCTTATCAGTAGACTCCCCCTTATTGGTCATCTACATTTTTTTAGAAATATGAAAATTAGAATCCAAATAATTTGTAAATATACAATGTTTATTTATATACAAAAATAAAACAATAAATATAAACCCCATGCCATCTCTGAGCTAAAGTAGTATGTCCTGTGGTATGAGCTATGTCGTGAGCTCATCGATTTTTAGCGTTCCTAGTTGCAATTTTCTATAACAGGTTTAACAAATGTAAGTATATAAATATGATTTGTATGTTTACATATCATACATATAACTTATTTGTATACCTCAGCATCGGAAGTACGCCAATACTCCACAAGTTCTTCCCACTGGCTTGGCACAATGTGCAAAGGAACATCATCCTTCATATTAGGATCTTCACTTCTAGGATTGAAATACTTACACTTAATCTTATTCTTGTGATCCTTCCATATGCTGTTACAGTTTTTCATGCAGATTGGCTTGTACTCCTCTGGACATATATTCAAATTGTCCTATAAAACACAATTTCAAAGTTTAAATAATAATAACACAATTTTGGAATTTAAATTTTTGGACAAAAATATACTTTTACCTTCACATCCTTCTATATAGCATCAAGAATATCATCAGGCATAGTGTTCCAGTCAAGAAAAGTAAGAGGAACAATGTTACCATTCCACACAATAATGCCAAGTTGAGTAGTTAACTTAGACACGTTATCCCCTATTGGATAGTAATTTTCATCAAATTATATGTCCAACTTTGTACCAGTACACCACTCCCTAATGCCCTTGGTACATCCTCTACCACGCCTACTCGAGGTTGATGAAGAACTAACAGGACTTGCGAGATACAATAAGAATAAACAATATGCAATGATAATAAACAAATGCAAATGTAAATAATGTCAATACAAATCGAATTCTTATACCTGAGGTGGGCTGTGAAGAAGTCGAAGGGTCTGAAAAATGCAATGAGAATAAACAAGTTACATGTAATGAGAACAAATAAATATATATTTAAATATTTTTTATACAAATCAAAGCAAATTTATATACCTGCGGATGGCTCATAAGTCAATGACTCTAGTCAGGATGATAGCTGCTGTGGTGCCACTGATGGTGGTCGATGCAGTGGCACTAATGGCCCCTTGATGGTGCTCGCTGTGATGCCTCCTCTAATGGTGGTGCCACTGATGGTGGACATACCAATGGTAGGCGTGGAGGCTGAGTAGATGATAGCTGTTGTGGTGCCACTAATGGTGGTCGATGCGGTGGCACTAATGGTGCTCCCTGTGATGCCTCCTCTAATGGTGGTGCCACTAATAGTGGTCGCTGCGGTGGCTGGTCAGATAGTGGAAGCACTAATGGCCCCTCTGATGGTGGTCGATGTGATGTCTCCTCTGATGGTAGTGCCACTGATGTCCTCTTACGTACCACATCGGACATCATGCATAGGGAATGATCAGGCTTCCTCTTCCTTGCCATAATAATCTGTACGTGCCGTGACATTAAGTGACATTAGAAACGTAGAGAATGGTTTTGAATCAACTATAATATGACATTAATTGAACTAATACAATTACAAAGACAAAGTAAATTAAGAAACTGAACATTAACTACAACCTTGGCCTTAATTCAATTACTGATGTTTATTAAATATCAGTCTATTTCCACATCAAGTGTTTCTCCTTCTGCGGCTTCCCTCACCCAACCAACTTCTTCATCACAGAACATTATGGTTTCTTCTAATTGTTGGCTCATATATGGCTCGATTTCTGGATCAGTCGAATTCATATCAAATAAACCTCTTTGAGACATCTTCACCACTAGCCAGTCTGGTTCTAATGGGTCTGCAACATACCAAACTTGCTCTGCTTGGGATGCCAAGATGAAAGGTTCATTGGTACTTCGATTATCTCGGTACAACAAATGATTGAAGTTGACCAACGTGAAATTGAAGACATCTTCTATCTTCCTGTGAATGTTGTCAATCCAATCACACTTAAACAACACATGCTTCTTCTCATTGGAATATCGAATCTCAACAATATCTGTCAATTGTCCATAATAGTACACAAACCCCACACGAGGATTCTTGTCTTTCCGACTAGCATAACTTATGGTATCTGCCTTCAAAGCTACACCACAATTTTGTGTGGCTCGACGGTCATCCATGGCCTTTACTCGATATCGAAACCCATTCATTATATACCCATTGAACCTCCTTGCTAGGTTATGAGGACCATTTGCCAATACAATAATCTCTTCAAAAAATGTGACATCACTAGTCCTTCGCAAAGTTTAAACCTATTTAAAAAAAAATTGTAAAATTTAAAATGTAGTTCAACTTAGGTAAATAGAATCTGTAGATTTAGATACATACATGTTCCTTGAACCAAATGTGAAAAGTTTCAAAATGTTCACACCAAAGCTGATGATCGTCAAGTACTTCAAGGTGTTTGCTGTGTAGATTGAAATTTTATCCCAAAAAAAAAAAATTTGGTTCAAAATTCAATGAAACATAATAAAATATTGAGTGAGTGACATAACTTACTTTATGAATGGTTGAACTGCGCTTGTATTGAATAAGACATACCGATGAGTTTGTACCCAAAAAGTATTACCAAGATAAAAGCTTGTGCTTTCACCAACAGCACGACCCAGATTATCATCACCACTGTAGTTCCTCACAGGTCAATTAGATTTGGTTTCCACATCATTGAGATATTGTGCACAAAAATTCATGCATTCTTCCATAAGACATCCGTTAGCAATTGAACCTTATGGATGAGCTCTATCACGCACATATTGCTTCAAAGTAAGAAGATACCTCTCAATTGGATACATCCATCGAAATTGAATCACTCCACCCAATAATGCTTTGTCAGCTAGATGTATAAGCAAGTGCTCCATTATATCAAAAAAAAGTATGAGGAAATATTTTCTCTAGATGAAAAAGTGTTATGGCGATACGATCTTGAATATATTGAAAATCTGTCACACGATTCACTTTGGAACACAATTGTCTAAAGAAATTGCTCAATTCAATCAAAGGTTTAATTACATTCTTCGATAACGATCTTCGAATAGCCAATGGAATTAATTGTTGCATCAGAATATGACTATCGTGGCTCTTAAGACCCCCAATACTTCTATCATGTAAGCGCACGTGATGCGATATGTTGGATGAATACCCGTCGGGAACTCTAACTTCCTTCAATACTTTCAAGAACAAATCTTTCTCGTCATTGGTCATCGTGAGTTGTTCTAGTGGTAAATAAGCTTTATTCGACCCTCTTAATTGTAAATGTAGGGGCTTTCTAATATTCATTTCTTGTAAATCACGCCGAGCATTAACACCATCCTTCGATTTTCCTGCAACCCCTAATATTGTCCACAACACATTGTCACAAACATTCTTCTCTATATGCATCACATCGAGGTTGTGTCTTATTAGATTGTGCTCCCAATATGGCAGTGCATAAAAGATACTCTTTTTCTTCCAGCTATGGGTGCGATGTCTAGCTTTCTCCTTCTCTACTTGTCTCCTATGCCTCTCCTTAAGGTCATCCCTCTTGTATTGGGTTAAAATACCCTCAGATTCTAATTGTAGCAGCATCTCAGTTCCAGATAACAATTTTGGTTTGAATCTGACTTCCTAACTGCCATCAAATGATACTTTATCCTTTCGAAATTTATGGCCACTAGGTAAAAATCTGCGATGACCCAAGTATGATTGTTTCCTACTATGCTTCAACCAACACAATGTAGTTTCCCTATTGCAACCAGGACACGCATATTCGCCTTTAGTGCTTCATCCTAACAAATTTGCATATGCAGGAAAATCACTAATTGTCCACAGTAAAGCTGAATGCATTTGAAACATTTGATTTGTTGATGCATCAAATGTATAGACACCGTCATTCCATAGTTCTTTTAACTCCTCAATCAACGGTTACATATACACATCAATCTTGTCACCAGGTCCTTTCGGGCCGTCAATAAGCACAGATAAAATTAAAATGGTTGCTTCATGCACATCCATGGCAGCAAGTTGTATGGAATGAGTACAACAGGCCAAGTGCTATGAACTATGTTCATCGTCCTGAATGGGTTAAAACCATCAGATGCTAAGCCAAGCCTTATACTTCGGCAATCATTACTAAAGTCAATATTCCGACGGTCAAAATCTTTCCATGCAAGGGAGTCTGCGGGATGCCTAAAGACACCGTCATTAGTTCATTCCTCTGCATGCCATCTCATTGACTTAGCCGTCTTAGATGACATAAACAACCTCTGCAACCTTGGCTTTAAAGGAAAATACCTCATTTATTTTGCAGCTATTCGTTTGCCACCGTTGTTAGGACCATTTGAACCACTATCACCTTTTGATTTCCATCTTGAACTGTTGCATATGACACATTTATCAAGATTGGCATCCTCGTTTCGAAACAACATGCAACTGTTGGGACATGCATCCCACGTCTCATACGTGAAGCCCAAATCTGTTGTGACCTTTTGAGCTTTATAATATGAGTCCGGGAGTTTCACACCCAACGAGAACACCTCATTTAATAACTCAAGAAACATGTCAACAGACTTGTCTGTCCACTGATTAAGCACCTTCAGATGTAGAAGTCGAGCAATGAATGACAAAGATGTGAACTTCTGACAACCCGAATACAATTCACTTTAGGCATCTTGAAGAAGTTTGAAATACTTTGCAGTCTCTACATTTGGACCGAGCTGGGGTTCAGATGCATGGGGATCAGGCCCCTGTGGTTCATTACCCTCAACACTTGTACCGGCATGTGGATTTCCCATAGCCCCTTGTATCATTCCAACCATATCGTCTCCAATGTCTAAATTAGCCCATGTTTCATTCTCTCGATTACTATGCAGAGATACGTAAGATTCCCCATGATTAATCCAATGTTTGTACTTTTTTAAAATACCATTCAAAATCAGATGCTCCCGTACACTCTCGCGTCAAAGATGGTATCGATTCTCACATTTCCTACACGGACAACTAATCATCGAACCTTCAACCCTATTGGTGTAGGCAAACACAAGGAATTGATCAATCCCATTAATTTATTCCCTTGACATCCTATTTGGAAAATCAATCCAAATCTTATCCATTATTTGTACTTCCCTCCAATGCACACTTCACTTCTTTTGTAATCTTCTCAACAATATATATAAATATATTTAAATGCCAGTCATTTTCCACATGCATATATGTTTCTCACCATTAATTTGCTTCAGGAAAACTTCCTGGGAGATATAAATCTCACATGCAAAACAAATATGCCATAGGAAAAGATATAATTACAACAAATGTAAGGGTCATAATGATATAGGATTATGAGGGAGGCAGATAGAGAAAGGAAAGAATGGAAAAATTAGTCATATTTACAACAAATATACCCTAGACAAAAATATAATTACAACAAATTACTCATTAGCTAACAAAAGTGTTAAACAACAAAATATGCCCAAAAGTGTTATTTGGGCTCAAAGAGAGAGAGAGAGAGAGGCCATGTTGGTGGTCAGAAGAAGTAGCTAAAGCCCGGAGGGGATGAACTTTCTAAAATACAGTC